AATAATTTACTTTGTTAAAAATTAATTTATAAAAATAATATTTTAAAAGAGAAGGGTTATAATAACACCGGTATAACTTTTACTAAGTATTACACCGCTCAATAACTTTATATTAAATGAGAATTTTATAAATTTAATCGTTAGATTGAAAGTTTTTTACTCTTAGCTCATATATATAGAATTTTATATTAATTTAAGATGATTTAATACTTCATTCTTATAAAACAAAATTGACGTAATGTATGAGCTAAGAGATCGGACGAATCGAATCATAGAATTTACGGAATATCGGAGTGGTACAGGCTGGGTATTCAATAGTGACCAGTTTTTTTTACGCAACAGCAGTGTTATTTATAGTAGTATAGGCTTTAAAACTAACCAGTTTTTTTTTCTCCCATTTCGAGTAAAATATTCAAAAGAAATTATCTCTACTTCGATCTCTGTTTTTTCATCTCATACATTAGATTTCACGATTCATATTTTTTTAATGTCATATTTATATTAATTTAAACAGCGACTCATTTTTTAACTTGATATTCTTATTGTTCCTAGACTAACGATGATTGTGAAAGTTAAATTATGACTTCTTATTTATCAAGAAATACTTTAATTTCAAGTTACTTGTTTTGTTTAATGTGTAGTTTTAATTATGTAGTTTGTATTATAATTATAATATTTAAAATAAAAGTGATCCCATTTTCTGCTATCGCAGTAGTGTTTCTAGAATTGGTCATTAAGAACCACTATCCGAGGTTGGTTCCTATAACTATAATAAGAGGAGAAATTTAAGGTAGAGCGCTTCCGTGAGGATGTGATATTGTATCCAACAATCAGTCCACTAATGAATACATAATTGAAACTAAATTAGTATAAGACCATAAACTAGTTCCCCCGAGAAAGAACACTTGAAACAGCTGATATCCATGGACTGTCCCTATAACTCCCACAAAGCGTTACAAACTTTCTATCCAAGCTTCCAGTGCCATTTGACAAAAACAAATATTTAGTGTATAATAACATCCTCACTAAGGCTTTTGCTCACAACATATCTCATCACTGAAAGTGTGTATAATCTGGTCTGCTAAGCTTGCTGGATCATCAATTAATGCATCAACAAAAGCACTCACCACCCTTCTCTCCTGCTGAGTAGCCTTAAGGCTGAACCAAGTCAGAAATCTTACTCTGAAGTTTTCATCTATGTGCCCCTGATGCTCTAACCACTTGACCACTCTGACAGAATACTCGTAGTCATTTTCCTTCGAGCGCTTTCTAGAATTCAAACCAGGAATTTGCCTCATTTCATAGGATTTAGAAGGTGTGGCAGGTGAAACTGCAGCAAAAATTTTATATGAAAAAGGCTCTAGTGATAGAGGCTTGGAGAGGAACTCTTCAAACCTGCTTTTGCTGTTTGAAATGATGATGTGTTTCCCAAGATGTTCTCCAGATAAATTCATGCCAGAGTTAGCAGATTCTGTGGGATGAATTTCAGCAGTTATTTGGTCATGTGCACACATGTCCATTCCTGTACCTGAGGATCTCTGAGGGGACCATCTTAAATGATTGCCGCCGCGACTAATAATAACTCTTGAAGGATTGGAAGGTTCACAAGGTGTCACCCACTTAGCTTCTGCAGCACCCAAAATCCCTGTGCTGCTGAACAGAGAAGCCTTACAAAAGTACTCAGTTGAAGGATGGAGGTTTTCTAACTTGAATCTTTTTTCAGGCCTCAAGACAATGAAGGTGGGTTGTTCAGGGTAGTCCATTGTTGATATTCGGTGCCAAAGTCTGCAGCCTAGAAAGTTCTTTAAAAGTTTGTCTTTGTACTCTAGCACGATAACAACTGAAGTAGGAAGACACTCTTCAAAGCGAATCGAGCATGCTGCAAAAATAAATTACAGGAAAATATAATATAATATGTTTTTTACAGACATAAACAAACATAATTCAAATAAAACTATAGAAAAAAATGCAATCTCATATTCGCATTCATCTCAATAATTATGCCTAGCATGGGATGAGACTTGCAGTATGTAAACCATTTAAATCCCCATATAGCTATTAGCACAAGTTGGAAAAAGTAGGTAAAATTATTTAGTTCCCCACTATTCCTCATTTTTGAAGAAGCTTTATTACGCCTTTCCTGAGTGACGTACTCTGATACGTATAACGCTATTCTTGAACCAAAGTCTCAAGATTAACCACATATATATATGCTATAGCATTGAATAACAGTAATCCGGGCTGTTTGCACTTAGACTACTGTCCTGAAGTGTATTTAGCATGAATGTCCAGATAATTTCTGGTGAAAGTTCAATCAGCTGACCTTTTAAAAAAATAATAGAAAGCTTACTTGGTGCATCTTTCTTTTCCACGCAAATAGAGAAAAGGTCAGAAAACTTTGAATCAAAACATTCAATTGCAGTAGAGCACAATCTCTGAACCTCAGCACCACATGAAAGCCTGCTCACAATTCCACGCGTCATCCTAGCATATACATGATCAAGTGATCCCACTTCATTCTCCAGTAATTTGAGAGCAGTTTCTACAATCTTCTGCACTTCCTTGTAGACTTCTGTTCCTACAAGAATTCGGTGGGCTAGGGATATTCGCAAAGAGAGTATATCCGTTCTTCTTGCTTCTTTGGCAACCAATAATTGCTTTCGCCATGTCCTGTAAAATCCAAACATTCATTCAAATAGTCAAAACTGTAATTTAGACAAGGCAACTTAAACTGCAGCGGACAACAATATGACTGGCAAATAACACCTTTTTTGTGCATAATTTTTCCAAATAACATAATGATCTATGCATATTTTACTTTTGCATGCATGTATACAAAATGTATATGACCTACTTACTTCATTAGTTCATTAATTTTTCCACAAGAAACACAACAGAAGGTTCCATCCAACTTAATACCACAACTACCCTTCAAAATGCCAGTCATTTGATTGCTCAAAGCACATTGCAAATGACAGGACATTCCACATGACTCCTCATTGGAAAGATCAGCACTGCAGGTCAACCACAAACTAGGATCCTTGTTATCATCATAACCATGACATATACAACAAGAACATCTCTTGCAAAAAGAATCTTCTGGATTCAATGCAGCTTTGCATGCAACATTCTGACACACATAGGCTTTCGCTGTTTCCTCTTTAGTACTGTTCACTAGAGGAGCAAGAGGTAAATCCTGTGATGCAGGTTTCTTTTTCCTTTTAGATCCAATGTAACTTTTGGCAGGAGAACGAGCAGGAGTATTTCCGTTGATTTGCAAGTTGGAGTTCTTAGAAATTATCTTCAGAAGATGTTCTATCATTTGACTCTTGGTATATCCTGTGTACTTCCTCTCTTTGCCTAATTCAGCACAGATTATTTCTAGAAGTTCCCTGCGAGTAAATGACTGAAGCATGCTCGAGGCATCTTTTGACTGTTGAGCAATCTCATGGACTAGTCTTTGTTTTTCCGCCAAATTCAGCAAACCATATTTTGCAGGATCAAGAAGAAAACCTGTAAATGAACAGAATTCTCAGGTTGAACTTCATTATCTCTCTAATGCGCAAATAAATGAAGTTCAAAACAACTATATGGAAACATTTTCACAAATTTACAATATCCATGACTGTCCTCTTGCAAATTAAACAATGTAGTTATCACCCTGCCAAAAATATCTAACACATTTATAAATAAATGCCAATAAAGTCTGTGAGTGTTACTACATACAGAGGGTGCAGGCCAGAAAGGAAATAAACTAGTATACTTTGGTTAACATATAGTTTGTCAAACAAAGCATTATTCAAAATAATGTGACAATAACCTGCTAAAATTTCAAGCCCTCACTATGCCGTCCTGAATATTAAAAAAACATAAAATTCTCATTCTCATTCACATTATTATTTAACAAAATTTCGTCCACTTCAATTCCAGTACACATTGCAATATTATTATGAATTTCAGTACATCCAGCTAAACACACTTCATCTATCTTTCCTAATTCCTAATTTTATATGTAACGAGCAGGGCACCAATACAGGTGGCAGGCATAAAATCGCATAACATTTTCTCTGTAGAAGTGAAGGAGGTGACACAAGAGTCTAATTCACGCAGAAAGGTACAACACAACACAGATCAATAACCACATCTTATTTTCTAACATTTTCCCAAAAAAAAAAAAAACACGTAGAAAATATTGAAATTACTCTGGACAACCCTACATCAACTGCATTAGAGGGATTTCCTAGAGGCACAATATGGAACATGCATACATAATGAATAACAAATATCTCAAAACCAAATGAGAAAATTTGGACAATGCCCATGGAAATGCTTGCACAACCACCTAGCAGATTTCAGGGCTTTATCCACATATCTTAAACCTCAATTTCTTCATGTTGGGGTAGTAAATAACCAAACCACATAACCCATAACCGCTACTAGGGGAAACAATTTTACTTTTTAAAAAACAAAATGAAAAAAGTATAAATTTTTAATTTTTATATAACAAGTCAAGTGTGGCATGAAACAAAAACCATTTTCCTCCACAAATTTCCTATTTTTCCACCTGTTCTGTGTCCGTGCGATGGAATCATGTAGGTAAAAACACCCAACTACACAAAGCACCAAAGCAATGCCACAACAATAATGCAAAGGCGAGAATGTGAATGAACGACAAAAAAAAAAAAAAAAAAAAAAACCTCTGATAACCTACATTGTGAACAACGCAACACCCACGATTTAACAAAGGGAAATAAGAGAGAAAACAAAGCCAAAAAAGTTGAACGGTTCAAGTTCACAGTGTTTTTTCTTTTACATGCCAAGAAAAAAAAAACGTAAACCCCAGATAGTGAAAAACGAAGAAAGAGAAAAAGAGATGAGAAAAAAGTGACCCGAATAGTTGGAGTTGGTAGCCGGAAAAGCACAAGCCTTGTTCTGTTGTTGGGTCATGATTATCCAGAAGCAAGAATTTGGAGTTTTATCTCAAACTATGTAGCGGCATTGCTGATCTATTGTTATGGTTTGAAGAGAGAGAGAGAGAGAGAGAGAGAGTGTGGCATGTAATTGAGCATTGAATGCTAGGATACAAAATTTATGCTGTGACGAGTGATTTGGTATAACGTAATTCCCGAAAAGAGAAACTCTGAACAAGAGTGCCAAAAAAACCAAATAATGAAAGGGTTTTGGGTTCACTACACCTTTTTTCATCTCACTAATCACCATACTTTTCAGTAATTTCATTATTTTTCTTTATACAACACTTCATCACCGAATGCAATTTTGTCTCGAGACCAATAACAGAAACAAAAATATAATATTTAACACAATTACTTTAAATTTAAGAGTAATGTATAAATTCTGAATAACTTGTTGATAATTAAAATAATTTCTTTATAGATTTATTTTTCACAGTCTTATGCATTGCATTTAAATCGAATTATATTTCGGGCTATTCCTATTTAAGCTATTTACTAATGTTATATGTATTTTTAAATATTGTATTGTATTAATTTTATTTATTTTAAAATATATTTTAACTACAATTATTAATTATATCTTTTTAATTCTCTGATCAATATATATATAATATTAAAATTAATAAATTATGTCATTAAGTCATATTTTAAATAAATTTTAGTTGGTTGGTTGTATAAAAAAAATTAGGTTAAAACCCTATTTTGGTCCCTTATAATCTTGCACTCCAACGCTCAAGTGAGTATTCGGTATAGAGCAATGAGTGCTTTTATATTGGATAATAACGTACCTTTTTATATCACATCACCTGTGTATTTATAGTGACACAATTGGGCCTGATGGGCCTTCAATCTTGGGAGATGGGTAACACTTGAGTTAGCCTTAATCTCCTCTTGGTATGTCCTCTATTCCGATGGAATTGACATGCTTTTGTCTTGTCGGCGTGAGGTGGGGTCAAAGCTCTTCGAGGAACGGCCAGAACTTCTTTGGCTAGAGCTTGCTCCAACACTTTGGCCCTGCTTGCGTTGAGCGGCGTATACTGCACATACCTCGGACCTCTGTTGTTATTCTTCTCACGATCATTGACTTCCCGGGGTCGAGACTTAGGAGGCTCCTTGTCATTCTCTCTTTTGCCGAGAAACAGGTCAGATCGGTTCTGGTTGCGGAACTCGGCCAGTTCCTCCATCTGCATATATTTGGTGGCCCTTTGCCGTAGGTCGTCCAAGTCATGGGGGGGCTTTTTGCACAAGCTATTGACAAAGGGCCCGGGCCGCAGCGCTGTGGTGAGGTGATGCATTGCTACGGCCGGATCCAAATTCCGAATAGACAACGTCATTTTCCCGAACCTCTCCATGAAAGCCCTCAATGGTTCTTTCTTCTCTTGGCGTATACTGACCAACGCAATGGATGTCAGCTGATGAGGCCGACTCGTGGCAAACTGTATTACGAAACGAGAGGACAGGGATGTGAACGAATCAATTGATCCGGGAGGGAGTCGTGTGAACCAATTAAGCGCTGGTCCTTTCAACGAAGTAGGAAAGACTTTACACATGATTGCATCGTCGTCGGTGTACAGGCCGACCTGTGTGACGAACGCGTCAAGGTGTTCTTCTGGGTCGGAGGTTCCATCGTACTTTTCCACGGTCAAGTTTTTCCAGTTATCGGGCAAACGAGCCCCGGCAACGTCTGGTGTGAACGGCGTTCTTCCCTGCCGTCGTTATTGATCTTGCGTTGCGGTAGTCGGTATGCCCGATGGTCGAGGGATGTTAACTTCCTTGTACCATCCTGAGGATTCGCCCTGATCCCGGGTTGATTGATTTTGTACATCGTGCGAGGGGTGCCATGTCCTATTATCGCTCCTGAGCTCAGCGTTCTCTCTTCTCAGGGCCGATAATTCGTGAGCGTCCTTTTCTCGGAGCCTCCTGAGTTCCATCATTTCAGCCTTCAGTTGTTCGAGTGCCAATGAGGGGTTAGGCTGTTGAGACCGATCCACGTATGATTCCTCCATTCCGTCGTTCTGATTGGTTTGCTGTCTGGGGGTGCCTCGGGGCATCCCGAAAGGATAATCGGTCACGTTTTCCTGTTGACTTCTTGTGGTTACCATCTTGCTTCAGGGTCGAGAACCGTTATGGTTTCGGCCCCACGGTGGGCGCCAAAATGTTCCTGCGTAGAAACACTCCTCTTGTCGTTCTTCCTTCTTGATCTTCTAAGTCTTCGGTGCCGACCGAATACAATCTCCGCGAGGTGGGGAGGGTACCTGCAAAGGCACTCCAACGCTCAAGTGAGTATTCGGTATAGAGCAATGAGTGCTTTTATATTGGATAATAACGTACCTTTTTATATCACATCACCTGTGTATTTATAGTGACACAATTGGGCCTTATGGGCCTTCAATCTTGGGAGATGGGTAACACTTGGGTTAGCCTTAATCTCCTCCTAAAAAAAAAGATTATAAGGAACCAAAATAGGGTTTTAACCAAAAAATTATATTGATGGCATATGAAAATTAAATTGATTAATTAAAAGTGATTCTTTTATAGAAAACTATTATTAATGTATTTCTATTATAAGTTTGATGTAATTTTGTTTTTATTTTTAATAAAAATGCTTATTAATTTATAATCTTACTATACTTTCTGATAAATAAAAAAAACTTATTTATGTTATGTATCTAAAAGTATGTAAAAGAATTAAACGTGTTTTATTAAAAAAATACATTATCTACTATATAAAATAATAAATTTTTATAATAATTATCTTAAAATTATAATATCTCTAATTTTTTTATTGATCGACGTTGTCAACTTCTTTACGTTAACATTGTGGAGAAATTAAATGCATATTTTAATATACTAAAAAATCAAATATTATTTTTATATAATTTAATAGAGTCTTAATGAAATAGATTGAGTTGGATTTATTTGTATTTTTTACGACACTTGCCTCAAAAGTTTAATAAAGTTAATTTTGTGAGTGCATTATATATTAATTTTAATAAAGTACGTAGTTAAGTTGTAAAATTAAGAAAAATAACGTAACAATTAATGTATATTTTACATTATTTTTTTTAAGATGAATGATAGTATCTTTATTATTAATAAAGAATATATTATTTTTAATAATTATTTTTAGTGTGCACTTTTATGTGGATAGATTTGTCATATTTTTGTTTTTTAATTTTCAATTATTTAATTTTTTTGTTTTTTGGTGTCAAGTTTTTAAATTATTTATAAGTAACTGCATTACTTCTATAATTGTCAAAAAGTCTTCTAGCTCTTCAATTATTAATTGCTTACTCTTATTTAACTAAATTATTTTTGTTTTTATTTTATATTTATTTTTAAATAAAATACACGAAAACAAGAAATATCTCTTTTATACTAGTTAGTATATTATATTAGACAACATTATTTATTACATAAAAAAAGTTATATTATTAGCAAATACACTTGAAAAAAATTATTAAATAAAAGATATTGAATCAAGTTAGGATAATTCAATAGACAACTTGAACTCATTCTTAAAAATGCATTAGGTCTAATTTGTTAACTATAAAACTATCAAAATTTTCTTTAGATCAACCAAGTTTATGATTAAGTATAGTCATGAACACTACTAATAAATAATTTATAATAATATTTTATTTTCTTATCATATAAATATAAGAGTAATGCTACAGTCTTTGAATCATTGTTCGAATCGTCGTCCGAAACATTAAATATTAATACTTTTAATAAATTTATTATAAAATAATTATTTAATTTAATAAAATATGGACTGGCATTCAAGGGTTACAAGAAGGATTAAATAATTTGACTATCAATGTTAATCGAGTACATAACAGGCTTGATAACCTCGAAATTTTTTTTGATGACTTTCAAAGTTCATTTGAATAAACTACATTATCTTATTTTCTATTGTATTATTGTAATTTAAATATGTTTTATTTAGTTGCAACATTTTTCTTTTCTATTATTTTATGTCATATTTAATTATTGTTTACTTAATTGATGACTGAATTGTATTTTCTGTTTCATTTTACAGATATGTTATTATCCATCTACTTTGTAATGTTATAAATTTTTTAATTTTTTAATTGGTAAAAATTAACTTGTACAATTAACAAATGTATCTTCATTTCATTCTAATTTATGTTAATGATTTATCAATTTTTTTAATTTATTAATTAACTTTCAAAAAATTTATTGTACATTTTTTTATATGTAAAAATTAACTTGTACAATTAACAAATGTATCTTCATTTCATTCTAATTTATGTCAATGATTTATCAATTTTTTTAATTTATTATTTAACTTTCAAAAATTTTATTGTACATTTTTTTTATATTAAGAAAATTCTATTATTTAAATATTGACATCAAAAAGTGGAAATATAAAAAAAATAAAGTAATACATGATTATAAAATTAAAATAATAACACTTTCATAAACATTAATAAAATAATGTTACAAAATATAATTATCATAATATATTTTGTTATTATTATTTATTATTATAAATATTATTATTTTCATTTTTATTAATATTAATATTATTATTTATTATAATTAGTATCATTATTATTTATTATGATTCTTATTATTTTTCTAATATTTATTATTATTCTTATCATTATTTATTATTTTTTTTGTAAATAAACCCTATTAATATAATTTTATTGTAATTATTATTAATTACAATAAATAATATTATACTCATTTTTAATCCAAGGGTAAAAGTGTAAATTATATATTCATCTCTTAAATTTTTATTTTTTATCTATCATTAAATTTAAAGCAAATATTTAAATTAATTTATTTTTAAATTAATTTTTTATAATTTTTTTAGTTAAAATTTATATATTTATCTTTTAATTATAATAATTATAAA